CCCCCCCCCCCCTTCCCTCAACAGGCCATTTCCGAGTTCCCCCGGGCCTCTGAACTAAACGAGGTTGAGTGCTCAACCTTTGATATGGAAACGATTTTTCATTCTCGTGCAAATAAAACTCATTTTCACAAGAAAGGTTGTGCACCTAACCTCATTTTGAAAGTGAGGGTATTTGGAACTCGGAAGTGGCCTATTGTATCACGACCGGGAGATATTTTTAAAATAAGTCAAGGGCACGTGACCAATCCCTGTTTAGTTGTGTGAAAGTCTAGGAATATAACAGGACCGATGGTACTTTACTTTAAAGCCTTCCAGTATCCCACCACGGTAATTTTACACTTTCCTAGCCCTCCTCCGAGGTAAATTTCGTCGAGGTCTAGAAATTAGATAACTTCATTTTTTATAATTTAGCATGCAAATAAGCTTCAAGCTTATCGTATCGTACTAAGAGAGCCTCAAACTCCAAGACTAGGTTTAGCAAATCACCATTTCCGAATTAAAATAAAACGCTGTTTGTTTAATACTCTGCTCCACAGCCGTTCTGTGTCGTCACGCAACGCTCCCTGTGGGGAGGAGCGTTGCGTGACGACACAAAGAACGGCTGTAAAGCAGACTATAAGAAACCCCTTTACTTTAACAATTCTAATGTATTATGAGTTTGGCTTCATTTTTTTGTTTGTTTGTTTGTTTTCGTTTTCTTTTTCCTTTTTGTTTTGTTTTGTTTTGCTTTTTTTGTTTTTGTTTTTATTTTTCTAGCGTGTAACCGTTACCAGGATTCTCTCTCGAAAAGTCTGTTATATTTCTGAAATGGACTCAACGCTGTCGGGACCAGGAAAACTGAAAGCAGATCTTACACGGGTACGCAATTAAAAAAAACAATAGTTCCAGGCGACTAATATACGGCTGATAGATATACAAACAGCTGATACAAAAAAAAGGCTTCATATTTAATGATAATTGTTTCATCACAAAGGAAGTAGCAATCCAAACATGATGAAGCCACTTTAATTTGATTCTTCAGTGGAAAGAATCTATTTAAGTGGACGCGTAGCTAAATTCATCGAATGCAAAGTAGAATATCATCATTGATAAAGCTTTGGCCAATGTTTCTTTTAAACTTAATTACTCCTGGGCACACATGCTAGAAGGCACCCCGTACAACGCGATTTTAATATTTCCGCGATGTTTTGTGTTTTTATCCCACAGGCAACATCTTCAGGATCCCAGCCAAAAAAGCTTCCTGTAGAGGAACAATCTTACGTGGTGATGGTTACTGATACAGCCAAAAGATCCCTACTAACGAAGGAGATTTTAGATTTTTGTGGAGTCTTGCCCATTTACAACACAAAACTATATCCGGATACGAGCACTAAGACTGGAGTTGCAGGTAATGAACTGAAGAAAATAATGACGATTCCGGCTTTTTATCTAACATAATAACCGTTGTACGTTCTCTTCGTAGACTGTTCTTACAGATTTTGTCACTTGGGGAGGGGGGGAAGGGGGGCTGCAGCACTGGTTAGCTGATTAGAAAAGAGATTACAATTATCCATGTATCAAGTACCGTATTTATTTGATAAAATACCGCGGCTTTTATTACCTTTTTAGCTTTTACAGGGCAGCGCTCACTCAAAGACGTCGTTTATTTCCAAATCCAGTTTCTTCAATCACTGACAACAATGTCGATAAATCGTTTGTAAATATGTTAAACAGAAAGATGTTTTAAGTGTTGAAATGTCTCACTGTTTTGCTAAGATATAATCGTAATTGTTTGGATTGTGTAGCTTATCAAGTTGTACCCAATTTTTTTTTTTTTTTTTATAAACATCGAATAAACCGCGCGGCACCCGTCTATTTGGGTGCGGCATTTATTCGAGAGCGGTGTTTAATCTTCCTGTTTAATCGAGCAAATACGGTATATACAAAGACTGCTGGTTCTCCTGAGTAAGGATCAAGTGTATTATCGATCAAAACAGAAGTAAAGTAAAATGTAAACATACAATCGAGTAGTTTGGTAAAACGCATTCCCCTTTTGGCATTATTTCAGTGTAGTGATTTATTATTAGCGGTCGAGTGAAAAAGATGAAGACTGAGGAACCTCCTAGCTATGTAGCTTTGTCGCTTTCTTAGATCCTTTCCCGCCCAACTGATCCAATAAGTCTACTCCTCTATCCTTTGGAGCCATTAAAAATCATAGAGTAGACTCTGAATAAAATGCGGTCATTTGAATTTCCTTTTATCGAATTATCAAATTGTTTTGCAGTTGTTACAGGGCGGCGTCTGGTCAAGCGACAGGTACAACGGACAGAAACAACTACGTTTGTTGGCTTTAATCGTACTTGTAGAAGCATGGTAGATGATAAAGGACAACTCCGATATGATGGTTTGGATAATTGCCGTGGTCCAAATGACAAATGGGTTGCAAATTGTAAATTTAAGGAAGGGTTGTGTTTTTACTTTGTTAAGTGCAATTATCTCTCAGGTCTAAGGTACTATTGGAACTGTACAGAAGTACACAAGAGTTCTGCAATTCCCGTCTGCTGTGATCTCGCTTGTGCCGATCGGTAAAAAAAGTGAGAGATTTTCCCCCCCAAAAAGGCTTCCTCAGCTTTTGTTTTTGTTTGTTTGTTTTGTTTTTAATTTGTCTCCCTGACACCTTTAACCTTCCGCCAGAGGCACCTTTTGGCCAACATAATGAAGTATCTACTAGTGAAATTAGCTGTTTCATATTATGCATTCAAAAAATATTTGTAACAAAAAGTTAAGACATTTCTTGACATATTTTTTGGATACTGTCATGGTTGTTGTTGTTGATGTTGCTTTTATTCATAAAGAAAATTGTGTTACGAAAGTGAATAATCGTCACTGAAATGCTCATAACCTTCCCCGGCAATTTTAAATGATTGTTGTTTCAAGAAAAATCTTACTTAGCATTCATCAAAAGTCAGACAAAACTAATCCTTGGAGTATAGCTTTTGGCATCCCTTTGCCGAAATCAATTTCAATTAAAGCGGTGTTTATTTGGCGACACTCTTGGAAAGAAATTAATGTGAACGTTTGGGAAAATTCCAGTATTTTCCGTGCAAGGGTTATTAGTCAGATGAGCACGCAGTCAAGTCATTAATAAGCTCTTTGCAAAACTTGGTCACATACTTGCACCTGTATACCACTTAGCAAAGGCTCGCTGGATGCCGGGCAAGCCAGCTAAGTGTTCACTCCGATCACAAAGCAACCTCGTCCCCAGGGCGCTTTTCCCTGGCTTTGGAGGTTGCCCACCCCACCGGCTTTTGAACTTTAGAGTTCGCATGTTTGTGAAAAGCGCAGTAAATGAGGCTGAGTATGTTATGAAGTATAATAAAGATCTCGGAAGGGGTTACTCACCAAAGCTGAATGGGGTTACTTATGGTTATGCTTAAATCTGGCACCTTTTCTTGAGAGACAAGAGGACCTTAATTACAGCTAACTCGAAAAGAATAAAAACACCATACCTTAAGAGGAAAAGAAATTAAACATCTTCTCGTTAATTCGTGATCAGCAGGGAGAATAAAAAGCGGTTAAAAACTCTTCGACAAACAAAGCTTTTATAGATTCAGTTTTCTTTTAAATAAAAAGGGAAAATAAAAATCAGCAATAGTAATGTTGACTGACGTTTCGATGACACCATCAGTATCATTTTCAAATTCGTGTAGTTCTTATAATTCCTTAAGGTGATTCCCTGGTTTTGCATTGCGCATCTCTTACTGCGCATAACAAGATGGCCCCCGTAAAAAAGAGCATGTGAAGTAACATAATTAAAATGAAGTTGACCGAAGAGAAACGCTATTGCAATTTTTGCCTGCGATTGTTTCTTGCCGAGGTGAGACTCAATGTGCTGGGAATGTGCCTAACGTAAGCAGTACGCGTCTTGCTGAGTTCGACTTCCTCACGGAGAACCTCGATAGTGGATGTTTAATTTGTGTTTATTCACTTTGATTTTCATTTAAACGCTTTCTTTATCACATTGTGTCCTAAATGTGATATCTCGATGTAAATTCTGTAAAAACAGAATTTTTAATACTTTCTTCCCCCTTTCACATATACATTCTATTTTGAAACTCGCCCCAGTCCGCTCTCAAAAATCAAGGAAAATGCATTTGGTGCGCACTTTCTGCAGCTCTACCGCAAAAACGAGTACGGTGACCCCCATTTTTTATTTCATGATTTTAATAAGGACAGTGCTTTTTTTCGGTAAGAAAAAAACTGGCACAAATCTATGTTCAGTTTTTTGGCAATTTTACTAAATTGTACGGATTGAGCTATCACGTGTCGAATAGCGCGTGTCCAATTTAATTCTACTTTGGAGCGTAAAGTAAAAACCAGGGCATTAAAAGGCATTTTTATGGTACGTTAGTGGATAAGCAATACATTAAAGTCAAATTCTGTGCGATACCACATGCATCATTGAAAAAATCTGTCCTTTTTGTCTAGTTTTGGGCTGCACGTGGTTTTTGTCAAAGGGTCCAAAATAGCCGTATTTGTCGGCATTGTGACGTCAATACGAGCACGGTGACCCCAACTTTTTATTACATTTTTATCATCTTCTTGACTTGTTACATCAGTGTACCAAGTTTCATCTAAAATCTATGTTAGGTTCTTTTACTAGGGAATCACCTTAAGTTCCTAAGTTGTTGCGTGCGAAAGTTTAGTTACATGTGTATCTTTAAGCCACGAAAATTCACATTGGTTTCAATATTAACTTTCCTTTCTTCATATCCTGTTAGCAAAGCCTTCGTTTGTCTTCTTGAGTGAGGAGGAGAAAAAAGGCTCCTCCTGAAGCACGTCAAACCTTTGAGGTAGCCGCAGCTCAAACTCCTGGACTTGTCAATCTTGTTCTCTCTTTCGTCAAACTGTTTTTTTAGAGCGCGAGCATCCGTTAATTCATAAGCCGACGGTCATTGTTCCAAGTATTGAGCCTGCGTTCGAACCCACGGGGGGGGGGGGGGGGGGGGGGGGGGGNTAATGTCAACTGTCAATACGTGACCAATCACAAGTAGGGGGCTTCTCAGTTTTGTCTGGACTTTTACAGGGGCACCCAACGACAATTTCAGTTCGGGAAAATATCTGTTCGGAAGACGATTTGAGATCTAGAATTTTCGGAACATTTGTTGTAAAATTTCTTGCTTGCATGCCTCTCCTAGGATTTTCGAACAAATAAAAAATGGTATACTTGCCCATTTTTAACTAATTTTTACCCTAAAAAGTTCACCTAGAATTTTTCGGGAGCCTATTTTCTCGCTAAAATTTTCGAAAAGGTAAGTTTTGATCCCTATAATTTTCGGATCACTAGACTTTCAGCTAGGAAATCCGAACAGATGAAAAATTTTTAGGGGATAGAAATATGCCTATATCTACCGTTTAAATACAAAAATACATTTGATAATGCTATGTTTAAGTGGTTTTGAACTACATTCTCGTTGGGTGCCCCTGACTTTTACTTTGTTTACCGGAAATTGTCAAGTCGAGACGCTTTTTTCAAGCTGTATCGTAATCAAGCGAAATAAAACATCTTTACTGTTCTTGCTCCCGAAGCAAACACGGCAAACATATAGACTACGAGCAGTCTCTCTCTTTTTTTACTGCTCCCAGTCCACAACAAACAATGATCAGTTTCGTGTGAATACAAATCAGACAGAATTGTCACAAAGAACAGAATAGTCACCGGTAGCCTGTCAGAGACGCGAATAATAAAAGGAGAATTATAAACAATTGTCAAAAAGCTTGTCAAATTGACAAAGTATAGTTTTTACCAAAGCTTCAGCTCTCTCTTTACAAACCATTTAGAAGTTCATTCAAGACGGTATTATCTTTTTGCGGAAAAGGCGGTCTTGTGAATATCGGCATTGCAGATGTCTGGCAAGAATCGCAGTCGCTTTGATCGCTTTGAATTGCCGCTCGGTGTTTGGACATATCCAATGTACAACTCTGCCTGCTAAACAAGCTATTACAGTTGGTTCCAGTTCGGGTTTTAACGTTAAGTTGCTACATGATTGGAGTAATTTTGATCTCCAAGGCTTATGCCAGTAGAACACATTTTCTTGTTGCCTTCATCATGTTTCACTCACTACCACGCCAATAAGTTACTCGCCACGGCTTAGCCAGTCGGGAATTTGCGGACGCGAGCGTCCGCAGCAATGAACAAAAGGGGGGTTCTTATAGCAGGCGTTCCTTACCCTCTCTCCCCAATCCTCCTCCTTTTCCCCTTCCTCTCTATTCCCTACCCCTTTCAACGCCTGCAACGCAGGCTACACTGCTGTTAACCATCAGATCTTGGACAAGAAATGCTGCAGATAGCTAGTAATTTGCGGCCTGAGACAGCGTTGAATCATTTCAGTTTTTATTATTCCTGTTCTAGTCTGAAAATAAAACATAAGGTGTGTCAGCAAAAACAATTGGACTGTTAGGCTGTTATTGAAGAAAAGATAAAAAAACAGGAAGTCGGTCAAACTTCAGAAAGCGGATAAAATTCTCGAGTTCGTTTTTTGTTTCTTCAAATAACCAAGTCTCTGGAGGTTACTCTTTAGCCTCCCATGCACATAACCGGCTAATGAATCCGTCCCTGCGAAGGTTAAAAAATTCCCCTGACAGCGGGCAAGGTGCCCAAACCCTTACCTGTGGCTATAGGTTATTAGTACGACCTCATCACCTTCAAATATTCCCTTATGATTTGTGTCGAAGTATATTCCTTGTAACAGATTAATTTCCCTAGCAGGATAACCATTTTAAGGTTACATTAAACAATCCATGAGTATCACATCTCAATAAAGAACATACTTAGACAAGAATTACTTGCTTTCTAATTCCTGTTTTGGGTTTGTCATTGGTAATTTGCACTAAATAATAATTCCCATCATCTGGGTCGTTCGAGACAAAATAATACAAGAGGGAACTAGAACATATAAAAATAGACTGCGCAAATCCCCCAAAAGGGATTCTCTCTTTACGCCCGGAAGTTGTCTTAGATGTGAATAGTGACAGCTAAATTTCATCGACCGAGACGACTAGTGAAACGTCTACTTATGTCCTCCTACTTGGGTCATGGTACTGACACAAGAAAAAGTAATTGACGAAGGAGATTTTCTTGAGTCTACTGAATGTATATTTTGGCGTAAAAACAACACCTCCAAATTGACGGCAAAGGAAAGAATTGCGCCAGTTCAGTTCTCAAGTATTTGAGAAATCATGATCACTGGAACATGGTACAAAAGTGTTATAGTGCTGCTATAAATTAAGTGGAAAACGAACCAAATCGAACAAAACCGAGAAAGGTCCAAAAGATACACCTCTGTCAACATATTTTTATATGAAAGTAAACTTTGATGTTGACGCATTTCTATCTGCTATAAAAGCTACTTGAAAATAGTTTTGAACTACAGCCATACTAAAGACCATCAACTGTCGAGGAGAAACTTGCGGTATGGTTCGTTTTAACACTTTTAAATAGCTGAAAGGAAGTAAAATAACACTGAAATGATAAAAAAAAGTTGTTGCTATTGTTTCTTACTTTTAACGTAAAGGCAATGACTGAGGCACATCTAATCTACAAAAGAAGAGTCTGTTTTGATTAATTTTGACATTACAACCTAAGTGGCCATTGAGTCTACACTACACATCCCACGCTCTGTGAAACTTCTTGCTCAAATTAAGAGGA